AGGTAGTGTTACCCTTTTCCCTGGGGTGGAGAGAATCAGACTGCCTTGACTCGGCAGCAGCAGGGAGGCCCCACATTCCAGACCCCAATCGGATGGCAAACTCCTCCTCCTAGCCCCCCCGCTCCAGCAGGCCGCAGAGAACGGGGGTGTGTGAAGACTCCAAACCTCCCTCCGCCCGCTCGTATGTAGTGTTGATGCATGTGTGTCCTAAGGTGCATTTAAAACCCAGGAGGGCATGGAGCTACCTGCCAGAGAGCAGCTGGTTAGTGCATAGCCCCTCCTGATAGCCCTCAATGTCTACATGCATTTAAAATTGAGAGGTGGGCAACGGCGCCAGGGGTGAGGTGTACACCCTGATGGTAATTTGGATTCTGTGTAGCGTGGCCACCCCAAGATCCTATATGTATGTGTAATGAGAGTATGAGTAATGTGAATGTCTAAGTTGTGAGATAAAATTGAGGCAGAGGCAGCCAGAAGGGGACAGAGGGGGGGGGGGGGGGGATGCCTCCCCTGCACCCTGGTGACACACCTTTACCCCAAGGCCCTGCATGTGTGGGTGGTTGTGGTGGAGCGGGAAGAGGGAGGCAGCTGGAGATGGGGAGGGAAGGAAGGGAGGGGCAAGTGACCCCTCCCTGGGGCCAGCTCCCCCGCTGACCCCAGTAGGCACCCCCCATACTCTGCAACCCGCCAGGCAAAGGGGGCCCAGGCCCATCCGGACCGGGGCCCAGTTCAGCAGCGCCGCCTGGCCCCACAGAGCCCGGGACAGCCTTCCCGACCCCACCACAGAGAAAACTGCACCCACCCCACCATCCACTCATCTTCCAGACTACGCAAGACAATAGACAGCCAGGCTGAGATCTTCCTCCACCTCTCCTGTATCTCCCCCTCCTGCAGAGTGAGTTCCTGAAGATAGGAGACCTCCTGCAAGATGTAACAGCCTCCCCCACCAGTTGAAGAGCCCCCCAGGTGGCTCGATGCACCGGCAGCACCCTGCGCCAGAACTGGGCCCCCATACACCCACCCACCCACAACCCGGCAACACACCAACCAGGACCCAAGCCCCCAAGGCCCAGCCAGGGCCCCAGCCAAGAGACGGAGCACCCCAGAACCCCACGCCCGTCCCGGACCCACCCAGGGGCAGCCAGGCTACCAGGTCAGTAACCCATGTCCATCAGCACAGACCCTCCCTAGCCCACTGCACGCAGCCACGAGGAAACCGTCACCTAAGAGCCAACCGAGCCCTTAATAGGCCATGGCCGCAACCCCAGGTTGAGCCCCCCAAGGAAGATGCTCCTGGGGAACCCCCCGACGCCCTAAGCCTGTCCCTACCCCCACACCAATCACAACAGCAAAGGTGGGACCAAACTATGACCCCCCACCCCCACTAGGTGATGGAGCTGATCAAAGGAGCCCAGAGCAATTGATCTATTGTGGTGGCAGAGGCTGTATCAAGACTAATGTAATCTATTAGATAAATTCTATATTGGTTAGAATTAAGATCATTTTTATTTTTCCAGTTCATGAGGACTGTTTTCTTGGCTATGCATAGGGCAGTGAAAACCATATGGGCCATATTCTTATCTGTAGTGACATTATCTAAGCTGCCCAACAAACACACTAAGGGGAAGTTGGAATGTTACATTTCAGACACTTTGATAAGTCTTCACATATCTCGCGCCAAAACTTCTGAACTGGTGGACAGAACCAAAGAGCGTGGATATAATTGTCCGGTGAATTGGTTTGGCAGTGTGAGCAGTTGTTGATAGACATAAAGCCCACCTTGAACATCCGATGACCTGTATAGTGCACTCTATGTAGTATTTTGTATTGAATTAATTGAAGACTGGGATTTCTAATTAAATGAAAGGTTTTTAAGCAAATCTGAGACCAGAAGTTTTGGTCTAAGTTAACTGATAAATCTGCTTCCCATTTTGCAATAGGAAGTGATATTGATTCATCTGTTTTAGAAAGCATTCTGTATATTTTGGATAGTAATTTGGGGGTTTTAAGAGTAAGAAATTGAACCACACTTGGTGGTGTTTGTAGTTCAACTTGACCCGGTTTAAATTTCTTTTTTACTATGGATTTAATTTGTTGATATTCTAAAAATCTTTCTTGTTGATCCCATATTGTGTAACTAGTCCGTCAAATGGAATAAATTCTGTTCCTTCTAATATATGTTCCAAGTATTTGATTCCTTTACAACACCAATCTGAAAAGTTTATCATATTATTGTTTTGTAATATGTCAGGGTTGTTCCAGATAGGTGTACGTTTGCATGGGATTAATGAAGACTCCGTCAATTTTAGAAACTCCCACCATGCTGTCATAGAAGAGTCCTGTTAGTAAATGATTAAGTAGCTGATCAACATATTGATTTAGTCTGCCTTACAGAAACCCGCTTACAGCAATATGATTATATTAGTTTATTATTATTATTTTTTGCATGGGATTAATGAAGACGCTGTCAATTTTAGAAACTCCCACCATGCTGTCAGAGAAGCGCTGATGTTGACGCTTTTGAAGCATTCATTTCGTTGGATGTTTGAGCTGATAAATGGTAGGTCTGAAATCTCTAGATTATTGCAAAGTGCTTGTTCTACATCTAGCCAAGGTTCATCTAAGAGGGTATGTTTTAGCCATCCTGAGATAAACTGAAGCCTGTTGGCTAAGAAGTAGTGCTGAAAGTTAGGTAGTTCTAATCCTCCTTTATCCTTGGTCTTTTGTAGTGTTTTTAAGCTTATACGTGGGGTTTATCTTCCAAAGGAATTTGGACATGTATGAATCTAGGGATCTGAACCAATCTTGTGGTGGTTTAGTTGGGATCATTGAGAATAAATAATTTATTTTGGTAAGGCCATCATTTTATAGCGGCAACCCTTCCCATGAGTGATATGGGTAGAGATTTCCATCTAGCCAGATCACCTTCTACCTTCTTTAAAAGTGGGATATGGTTTAATTTAGTTAGATCTGCAAGCTTGGGAGAAACATTAATACCTAAATATTTTATATTTCCAGATTGCAGTGGTGTAGAAGAAGAATTATGGAAGGAGCAATTTATCGAAGACTGTAGATTCAATCACACCAGAGATATTGGTTTGTGAATTTTGGAGAAAACGTAACACATCGTCCGCATAAAGGCTGACTTTATGTTCCACGTTCTTGTATTTTATGCCCTTAATTACTGTATTCTGTCTAATTGCTGCTGCTAGTGGTTCAATAAAAATTGTAAACAGTGAAGGGGAGAGTGGGCATTCCTGCCTGGTGCCCCTCAGGAGACAGAAGCTGGAGGATGTTTGGTCATTTGTTCTGACACAAGCTGTTGGGGAATTGTATAATATTTTTAACCAGTTAATGAAAGAGGATCCAAAACCAAATTTGTGTAAAGTTGCAAATAGAAATTTCCAGTTAACTCTGTCAAATGCTTTCTCTGCATCTAAAGAAAATATTGTAGTTTCGATGTTTTTACTGTATGAGTAGTCTATCAAATTAAGTAATCTACCTGTATTTGTTGATGAGTGCCTACCTTTTATGAAACCAGTTTAGTCAGGATGAAGTAAGAGGGGGGTTATTTTCTCCAGTCTCTTTGAGAGAGCTTTGCAGATTATTTTAAGGTCTACATGTATAAGGGATATTGGACGATAGCTTGAGGGATATACAGGGTCTTTGCCTGGTTTTAGCAGGAGATTAATGTTTGCAGAGTTCATATTTGATGGAAGTCTGCCCTTTTCTTTGATTTCCAACAACGTTCTGCAAAAAAACTGGTGCTAGAATCGTCCAGAATTCTTTGTAGAATTCTGCAGGAAAGCCGTCTGGACCTGGAGCCTTATTATTGGGCATACTTATCAGGGCTTCCTGGAGTTCACCTGGTGTCAGTGGCAAATCCAGTGCCATTGCTTGAGTGTCTAATAATTTTGGAGGAGTTATGTTGTCCAAAAACTGATCAATTTTGTTTTTAGATGGGTTTATTTGAGCCAGGCCAGCTACTAGGTGGCATAGGGGCTGCCCTGCCGCCTCCCCCAGTTGTGCAGAGATAAATCGAGGCGCTCAAGCTGCCTGGGCGATGGCAGCAGATCCATCCTGTGGTCTCCATGGGCAGCCCGCAATGAACAGTTCCAGGATCTCCTGCTCCATGATGCGAGCCTCCCTTGAGCGGACCTGGGTTACAGCCACAGCCTCGCTGAGTTGACTAGCGTAGGGGAAAGGCTAGTCCTTCGGCCCCATCCGACCCTCCCAGAACCGCCAGCGATAGTCCTGTGGTACAAGGCCCTGTTGGACATCTGCAAAGCTGCTGCTCACACGCGGGCAGGCTGAGAGCCACTGCATGGGCTTTGCCAGACAGCAGCGGGAGCAGAATCAGCACTTACTCCTCCTCCAACCAATGGTACACAACCGCCATGGCCCGCAAGACCTCCAGGAAGGCGGGGGGTGGTCGTCTCCCTCCCCCATACAGTAGAGGGACACTGGCGGGGGCCAGCCCAAGCTACCAGACTTCCCAAAAGCCCCATCCAGTGCTCAGATTGGTCCTGCAGTTGTTCCAGCTGGTGGCTAAACACCACCTCCTGCTCCTACTGCATACCCACCAGCTCACCCACCATCCAGGCCAGCGCCTCCACTGGCAGGGCCGGTCTTGGTTCTGCCAGTGGAGGCGCTGGGTTTGGCACCACTGTGGAAATGATGTACCCGCCAACAGCGTTTGCAGTTGCACACGTTTTTATTTGCACTGTTTTTAACTGGACAACTTTTCATCTGCCCTGCTTGTAGCCCTAGGTCCCACCTCAGGTCCCAGCACATCTTTTATCGAGGAGGCATGACTAGATGATGGAGCTCAAGTTTGAGTCAGCCTCACACCTGAGGCTGATTCCGCACCCTGAACCCTCTGCTCCACCCCTCCCCTGCAGCTGAGCCACAAACCACACCCTGCCACATGACTCAACAGCATTTTGAGAATGTCTGTGTGTCTGTCTGACTGTATGTCCACAGTGAAGCCATCTGAGCCACAGTGCTGGATGGAGGGCAAATTCTTGGAAGGCAGTGATGTTAAGATGAGCTGCAAGTCCGCTGATGGCTCTGATCCTATCCATTACAAATGGGAAAAAGTACTGGACGAAGGCAAATATGTAGACAAGCTGCCTCCACTGACACTGATAGGTAAGTCTGTCAGATGTACCTAGGGCTTTTTAAAACAAAAATTTAAACCTTGAAACGAAGCAAAAAAGAACAAAACACACACATCATTGTGATGTGGTAGGGCATCATAATGAAAACATAAAAAGTGTGTTGTACAGCTCTCTCCATGCCCAAAATATATATACCTCGATCTGGTCAACTTTGACCTCTGTTTATCCAACCTCGGTACTCACGTCCCCCAAGGTCAAGTGTATTGTTCTGGAATTTGAAGATGATCTATAAAAAATTGCAGGTAATATAAACTGTTTAATGATTTTCACATTTGGTGTTACTGACCTTCAACCAATTTTCAAAAAAATTCTACCATGATGCCAAATCTGAAAAATGCTAAACTGTGGACACTAGATGCTGTGCATGCTAACATAAAGACAAACAAACAGAACCGATTACATACTCGTTTTACTGCATAGTCATGTTTCAGCTCTTAAATAAATGAAGACTTCTGACTAATCTAAGTTATTCTGTTCTCCTTTTATCTTTTTCAAGTACATTTAGCTTGCATAAAGAATCTGTCAAAAGTATTTACTTTTTAAAAACAGCAAAGATTTGTACAAAGGCCATGGCTATTTCTTTATGTTAACTCATCTTTAGGTACATTTATTTCAATAGAAATCAACTCTTTTTCAAACAACACCATAAAACAGTAGTGCACTCTTAGATGCTGTCTTGTCATTCTTGGTACATCAGATTTCAAAACCCCAGAGATTGTGGCACTGAGGAATTTGACCAAGGACGATGCCGGACTCTACAAATGCACAGCCAGCAATGATGTGGGAGAAGAGAGCTGCACAGTGGAAGTCAAGATACACTGTGAGTGAAGAACTTTTTTTGAACACTGAATAAGTTAACAATTGCTGCTTTTGATTTGCAAAATAAAATCCCCTCTTCATGTCATTGTAGAGCTCATCTGCAAATTATTTTCATACACACTGCCTGAAGTGCTATAGTGAAACTGTAGGTGAACGTGACATTCTTTTAAATTGCAGATCACAACATCTCTCAAAATTTGTGGTCTGTCTGTGCTTCTCAACCTTAAGTTCACTGCTTCTTAAGTGGAATCTCAGTTATTTTCCTAAAATCATTGATCATTTTTCTTTTAGCAAAAATGTGGATGAAATTTGTTGAAGTGGATGGGAAGACAGTCTTTTCTCTATAGTTCAAAATAATACATTGCATTGTAAACTCACACTTGAAGGGGCTTTCTACACTCATTATTGATCAGATCCATCAATTAACACTAGACTCCATATATGATAGTGTTTTTTTGTTGATTCTGAGTGGAAAGGTGGTGCATTGGTTCACCCTATCACCTTGCATTAGTGGTTTAAATTTAGATTGGCTGGGGCTTTGGTGTGACAAAGCCTCCCTCAAACTTTAATGTAATGCAAATGGACTTATTCTTATACAGTGCTTTTCTATGCTCTTTCTATGTAAATGCTTTCTATCTAAATCCTACTTCGGAGAGCAACATGGGGTTAGTATCTTGCCCAAGGACATTTGGCATGCAGACTGGAGCAGACAGGGATCAAAACACAACTGAAGACAATGAGGGAATAACTATGGGCAGAAACATCATGAGATATTGTGTGTAGGTATTTGAGGTAAAAAATGAATTTCATCCATTATGAATATGAATATTGTGAGAAAACCTGGAACAACTTAAGTGCTTGTCAGTACTTTCCCGGATCTGCTGTACCAATCCATTCTTTTCCTCATACCACTAGCAATGCAGCTCTTTTGATTTGAACATAATAAAAACCCTCAGTGGCCACATGGGAAATGTTCTGGCACAGGACATAAACTACTCTCCCAGTCCTCCCTCTGACTTTGAGTCAGCACTGTCATCTGTGGGACATATTTGTCCTACATATATTACACGCTTGACAGTGGCTTGTGCAGTAGCCTGGAGTTGGTCTCCAGCAGTGTTGTTCAAATTACTTGAATAAAGTAATTAGTTACTTAGTCACTTTTTAAAGAGTCAAACTCAAAGTAATGTCAGTATTTCCCAACATTAAATGCTGCATGGTGCTGCTCTATCCCGCGCCCCATGTTTTCTATTCTTGATCTACACATGTGTCTGTTGGTGCCATGGACGTTGGAAAGTAACAGTAATCTAATTACCTTTTTGCAATAGCAATCCCTTACATTAAAAAGTAATTGGATTATGTGTTACTGCCCATCTCTGGTCTCCAGTATTGTCTTCCAGTGCACTGAGTTCCTAAGGAACATTACTAGTGTACTTTAAGCCTTGTATAGTGCCAAGCATTCCTATACCTGTGAGATCTGATTGAAATGACCTCCTCAACATGTCTTGAAGTTCCCCTGAGGCCTGGTAATGAACTAATCATTTGATTCAGGAGTGTTGATCCAGGGTGAGATCTAAAACCTGCAGGACACCGTCCCTCGAGGCCTGGATTTGGACACCCCGATCTAAAGGATAAAGATCACTCTTTCAAGGATGTCAGTGTTCACATTTTAGACAGACAAGACAGATAGTTTGACAGAGAAGTGAAAGAGGCCTTCTATGTCCACTGTGAACAGCCATCTTTCAACAGAGGAGGTGGCTTATCACACCAACTGCTTGCCACCTACAATGCAGTTTTGAGATCCCTTTCCCAAGGTGCCTCAAGCCCTACTTACATCTTGCGTCAGTTGATCTCAATGGGTCACATGATATAGGGTGAGGGAAGGTTTGTTCTGCTGATGAACTCTGCTGTTAATGACTTGCAGCTTTTTTAACATCTTGGCTCATGTGACAAGGCACATCATCAATAGTGGTTCAACGACCTTCTTAATGGACCACCCCCACTAGGGTTTTAAATATCTGAGACTTTCCACCATTTGGTTTTATAACTGAAGAAGCTTTCAGATGAGAGGTGAAGTGTCTTCAAGAAACTTTAAAAAGTCCAGTTTCGTTCTTTTCCAAGCTCATCAGACAATATAGGAGAAATCTGCTCTCTCTTTCTAGTTGCTGTCAGTACTCCTGCTGCAGCATCAGCATTTTAGATCAAGTGACGGCTTTTCAGTCAGTTTTTAGAACAACCTGATAATAATGAACTAAAGTAATCCAGTCTAGAAGATCTAACTGGATGAAGAGGATTTTTAGCATCATTTTAAGACTGGATTTTTCTAAGTTTAGATATTGTGCAAATGGAAGAGAGCATATCTGTTTAATATTTTTTGAGCCTTTGTGTTTTATGCAGCAGCAGGTGGACACAATCACACAGGTGCGTGGGCCAAGAGCGAGAGCCCGTAACGAGCTCCACCCAGGCAGAGAGGAGGAGAAAAAAAAAAGAACAACAACAACAAAACCTGTAGCCAGTGTGAGCCAGCCAGAGAGACACGGGGACCGTGACAGAACCAGTGCCAGCCAAACAATTTATCAAAGAACCCATTTTAAATGGAATCTTTAGACACCTTGTTACTAGCAGCCTGGTGCAAAACACACCTTGAAACAACAACAAGGTGATTTAAAAAGACAGCCAAAAATCTGTTACAGCTCAATATGGTGTGCTGTGTGTCTTTAAAATAATTTGAGGGAAACTGGACAAGTGGAAGACAAAAGAGGTGGCAGGCCTTTAACAAACTACAAACTTTCCAATTGGTAGACAATGCACTCTTCCTCCTGAGCCACAACCACCTCTTAGAATAAGTATTTGCATTTATATTTGCACATACTTCAGTAAATCACTGAACATATTTCCAACTTTTCAATAAATAAAAAGTGATGACTCAAGACTTTCGCACAATACTATAGTCGACAACTTGGAACTTCTGGAATAGCATTATTTAAAACAATTTTAAAATGTATTGATTTTCAAGGTTCAATTATTTTATATTATAGCTATAATATATAATAGCTGAAGGGATAAATTGGGGGGGTTTTTTTATCTGGCTTTAGCTTTGATAATACTGGGGTGTGTTATATAGGTTTCTGAAAATGATAAAGACGGGGAGACAAGTATTTTACTGAAACTTGCATGCAACTGAAAAATAGCAATGGTGAATTTGATGCATTGGTGGTTGTAGCATAATAGTGTGTCTTACATCAATATTTTTTGTTATTTTTGGTAGATGTGAAGGGAATTGGTGTGGTAGCAGGTGTAGTGGTTGGTGTGTCCTTCGCCATTCTGCTTATCTTACTCATCATCTGGTTGGTATTCTGCAAAAAGGACATGGAAAAAAATGAAGAGGAGGAGACGCCCAATGAAATCAGGTAGACAATGCCTAGAATATTTCTTTGCACATGATAACTACCCATGACAAAAAACTTTACTTTTACAGTTTTATTCAATATATTAATATAATTGCTGCATGTTATACAATCATTCATTTCATCGTTTCAGCCATCTCATTACCAGAATCACTGAAATATATGTATAACCTGTATACCTGTAGGACTGCCTTTCTGATCCATCAATGTTTCTGCATGAAATAAAAACTTCAAATAGATGAATCCCAAAATGATAGTTTCAATTTATGGCTGTATTGGTTATAACAGCAGTTACTTTTTCTCACTTTTTACACAAACTGATTGTATTAGTTTGAATTGAAATAATTCAGACTGTTGTGGAATTTTTCTATTAATTAACCAGTTACAGAACAAGAAAGTTGAAAGTATTCATTACTGATCAGAAGACTTAGAACACTCTAATCCTTCCAGTTATTTATTGCAATTCAAGTCGTTCAAATCCAATGAATCCAGCTTGAAATGGTACAAAGGTATGTGTTGAACTGCCAGAGGTTAAAAAAAGGTAAGGTTACCCAACACTAAAAAATAATGTACATTTCAGAAAAATGGCCTTTTTCAGGGAACACAACATGGTTTTAACAATTTAAATCTGTTCTCCAACAATGGAGGTTGATCCAGTCGTGAAAGCTGGTGCTACTAATTCCTACAGGTCTTCCAACTTCTCTGGATTACTTCCAGCTCCCTCTGTCTGCATAAAAGCAGTGTTGGAGCACACTGATGTACCCTCGTGAGCATCACTTGAACAGTACTGTACTGCAGAAAGTAGTGTGTTGTACAGAAATGGTGAGAAAAAGGCAATTAACAATGGAAGAGAGACAGACCATCATAACATTTATAAATGTAGGTCTGTCCTACAGAGAAGCTGCAAAGAAAGTCAAGGTGTCAGCGAGTACAGTTTCCTTCACCATCAAAGACACTCAGAAACACCCCAGTTTCCACAAAGCGCAAGATACCACAATAAAACCATTCAGGAGCTGAAATAATCGACTTGTACCTTTGGCTTAATCGTTGCCCAGCATATCTGAAATGTCTCCGCCAAAGAAAGCCTCGAACCTAGGCAAGAATAAGACCATCGACAAATGGTCGAGCATCGAGCTTGATGCTAATGATAGTTGCACCAGCAGGGCTTTGGCTGAGCCTAAAGTTGTCACTCCGGATGACAAGAGTGAAATGTATAAGATATGCCAGGAAATATGTAAGACAATATCTGAATCAATCCTGGAAAAACTTGATGAGCAGTTTGATGCTTTTGAGGCCAAGTTCCAGTTGGTGCTATCCGTACAGACTGACTTACAGAACCGCATGGAAGGTCAGGAAATTAGCGGTCAACGCCCCGGGAATAGCGAATGGGAATGCTTGAAGCCAAATGCGAGGACCTGGCAAAGCTTGTAAATCAGATTCAACCCAAACTATTGGATTTGGAGGCCTGTACTCGGAGACTTAATATAAAAATTGTTGGCATAAAACAGCGCTCAGAAGATAGGGAGGCCGAAGGAGTTTATTTCCAACCTCATCCCCGAATTATTGGGTGAGCAACACTTCCCACATCCACTTAAGGTCGACCACGCTCATCGATCCCTATGGCCTAGGCTGGCAGCGGGACAGAAACCGCATACCACCATCGCCCGAATACATCACTTTCAGACGAAAGAGCTTATTCTATGCCTCGCCAGGATGCAACCGATGGAGTACAAGGGGAATAAAGTTCTGATCTTCCCAGACTACACCAGCGAAGTAATGAGCTAGCACTGTTCCTTCCGGAATGTGATGCAAGCCCTGAGAGAAGATGGAATTAAATTCCAGCTATGGTACCCAACAAAGCTGTGTGTGCACTAGAAAGATGAGGATGTTCCGGAGGTTTTCAATGATCCAGAACAAGCAGAGGTGGCTCGCCAGCGTTACATATAGTGCTACAGAGAAGGAGTAACTTGCCTATCAGCTGTGATTGCATGTCTTCTTTTTTCTTTTTTTTCTCTCTTTTTGTCTAATAAGGTGAGCGAGCTTTTAGTTTGTGTTGTGCCTCACGCTGTGGACTATCAAACAGACTGCACTGTGTTGTTGCTAATTTCTGACTTTTTAAAAAATATTTTGTTTTCTTTATCTGTATGCTAACTGTCAATCCACAGTTTGCATACAAACTAGCGCTGATCAGCTTTTCCAGAAAGCACATAGTTCAGTAAGATCATCTGGTAATGTGTCATAGTTATATATATATAATTATATTAGTTAAGTAAGTGCAATAGAATACAAATAGAATACACGCATCTAAGCCACAAAACAAAACAATACCCCAGCGCCTATCACCCGCCCACACCGCTGCTCCCAAAAATGACATGCATCTATCCCTAGTAAACCAAACCGAGGCTGCTGGGCAAATTGTGAACCTCACTTAAAGGAATCACAATGCCCGGATGATACGGATGATAAAGGATTCAGAAAGTTTATTCATGCAGGCCCATATGACAGAGAATGTGCATCTTTTTTGTTTTCATATTTTAATTTATATTTAATTGTGTTGTGGTTTGCAGTGTTTTGTGTTGTTTCACTTTAAATTTGTTTAAAAGGTAAAAGCTGAAAATTTAAATAGATAAAAGTTGAAATGTGAATAGTTGGTTTTTGTATAATATGATTTATTTATTACATTTTATGTGGAGTGAATAAATATATGAGTATATTTACAAGCCAGGAAGTACCAACGACCAGATTTAAATTATTTGAATATATCTGAGTGCTTGTATACAAATACACAAACAATACACATATGCTTTCAATTGTGTAATTTAAGTGATCTAGGTAGCTCTGTTTTGGAAATTCAGTTAACGCTAGAAATGTGTTTTGGAGTTTGTACGTGCTTTGTCTCTAGGGGCCACCGTATATATTTATATATAAACATATATAAATAAAACCACTTGTTTTTTACATTAGTAATTCCTTTTGTGCATAATTTTATATTTTTGTTAATAATAAATTAATTAAAGCAACAAAACAACCTGAAGAGCCGGTTGGGAGCTGAAAGAGCCGGTTCTCTAAAAAGAGCCGGAAATCCCATCACTAATAACAACGATTCTAATATAATGTGGCTGGAGATCTTAACTGTTATCTTGACCCCTTCTTAGATAGATCATCCACGTGACTAGCACACCATTGTTTTTCTTGTGACATTACCAATAAGTTTGATGTGTCACATGGCCCTCTTCCTATTGAAAAAACTAAAGTTGTATCCAAGATGGCCGACTTCTAAATGGCCACCATGGTCACCACCCATCTTGATGAGTTTGCCCCCTCACATATACTAATGTGCCACAAACAGGACTTTAATATCACCAACCATTCCCATTTTATTACGGTGTATCCATATAAATGGCCCACCCTGTACTTTATGGGAAGCACTGAAGACTGTTTTGAGGGGTGCGATAATTTCTTACACTTCAGCTCTTAAAAGAGAAAGAGAGAAACATCTGTCGGAAATCAATAGCTTTCCTGTCCTGGAAAGAATGTATCAAACCTCTAAATCGTCTATGGATTATAAAGAGATACTGAAATTAAAATATGAATATAATGGCATTATGAGTGGCCTAGTCAGCAATTTACTCTGGAATTTGCGACAAAAGCTTTTTTGAGTTTGGAGATAAACCTGGTACGCTGCTTGCACGACAGCTTAAGGGTGTTCAAGAGCAATATGCTGTCATGGTCTCCTTGCCTGCCCGGCCAGCCCCACAAGGCTACATTTGCTGTTTTGGTTCTCTCCCTCTCTGCCTGGGCGGAGCTCACTGTGGGCTCCCGCCCTTGGCCCACACACCTGACAACAATCACCTGTCATTACCGGGAGCACTATTTGAGGCTGGAACACAGATCCTCTCGTCGCTGGATGATTGTACTACTGACGTTAGTGTTCTCACAGCTCTTGTGGACTTGTGCTTCGTGATTTGTGATTAGTTTGTGACTTCCTTCTCTTCTGCTTCAGACCTTCCCCCCCCCCGGACCTGCGACCTCCCTGCCGTGTGAACGTGTGTGAGTGTGGGCAAGAAGACGTGAGTGAGTGTGAGAGAGCTACCCTGTGATTCCCTGGAGTTTTGGATTCCCTTCACTGTATATATTGTGCACTGGAGCCGTAATAAACTGTATTTTGGAGACATCTAACCGCTCTGCGCTTGAGTCCCTACAACCAGATCAAGACATATGCGGCATCAAATCTAAAACAGGAACTCTGCTAACTAACCCTATTGATATAAACTGTTGTTTCAGTGAGGTCTATAGTGATTTATATTCTCTTAAGCATGTCTTGCAATCCGATCTTAATGGTTTCTTCAACTCTCTCCCACTACCTAAACTGAGGAGCTCTGACCAGGATTATCTCGATTCTGAGTTTACTCTTCAGGAAGTTGTCCAGGCTATAAATTCATTCCCTAATGGCAAAACAGTGGGACCCGACGGTTTTGGTTCAGAGTTCTATAAGACATTTTGTGACATTCTTGCACCACTTGTGCTTAGGATGCTGCGCAACTCAAAAAATGAAGGAAAATTGTCTAAAACTTTGTGGAAAACCAATATTGCTCTCAGTTTGAAAAAGTGAAGAGATGGGACTAACCCTGCTAATTTTAGGCCGATAGCGCTTCAAAATTTTAGTAGTAAGAAAATTACAAAATCTTGGCGACTAGATTAAATAAACATTTGGCATCCATTATTCATCCTTACCAGACGGGGTTCATCCCTGGTAGACTTTCCTATTTTGACATTAGGCGATTACTCAATATAATTTATTCCGACTATAAAAATTGTAAGGGAGCCTCTGTTTTGGCCCTGTATGCACATCAGGTCAAGTGGCCTTACATGTTTGAGTCAGATTTGGATTTGGTGAATCTTTCATTTCTTGGGTGAAATTGATTTACACAGAACCAATGTGCTGAACAATCAGTTCCTTTGCTCCTCAGCTTGATCACCTTTCGGTAAACTATCATCAACTGTTCAAAGAGTGAGTTTATGCCTCTTTCCAACAATAGCTCATCAGAATTTATGTTGCAAGATCCATTTAAAGTAGTTAAGAATCCTCTACCCTACCTTGGCCTGACCATACTGAGTATGTGTCAGGGCTAAAGCAAAGCATTGAATATTGGAAAACACTGCCCTTGTCAATGATTGGACGCATCAATTCAATCAAGATGATTTCAAACTCTTCCCATTTATCATACAATGGCCTTTTTCAAAGATCTGGACGCAATCATTCAGTCCCATATTTGGAATGGCAAAAGGGCCAGAATCTCTAAAGTGCATTTGCAGAAATCCAAGAGAGATGGAGGGCTTGGCCTGCCAATTTTTAAAAACTACTACTGGGCTGCTAATATCAGAGCGTTAGTGTTCTGGCAGCAGGACTCCCTGGATTACCAGGCATCGACTCCCCTATTGTGGATTAGAATGGAAGCCGTATCAGTCAACAATTCTTCCCTGTGTTCCCTATGTTATTCACCAAGCTTGGAAAATTAGATTCTTATAAATGTCTGGGTTTTGTATTAAAACAAACTATTAGAATCTTGAATCATGTTATAAGTTTTTTAGCACTGCCAGACACTTCCATACAGACACCAATATGTTTTAATCACGATTTTATGCCTCCTTGGCAAGATAACATTTATCACGCTGGAGAGAAAGGGTTTAGTGTCTATTAAGGATATGTATATTGATAACAAATTCTCTCCTTTTAGCCAACTAAAAGAAAATATAATCTGCCACATTCACATTTTTATAGGCATTTGCAGGTCAGGCGATATGTCCAATCCAAGTTTAAAGAGTTGCAACTCTACCGTCAGAACATGGCATCTACGAAATACTCAAGAGCCAACCTGATTCCAGACATCACAAAAATTGTACAGTTATTTGGTGATTCTATCATGGTGCATACTGCTGGATTTGGCAGCTTGGGAGAATGAATCGGGATGAAGGTGTCTGAATCTATGTGGAGTAAGTGTCTGTCTAAAATCCATTCTTGCTCCCTGAAGAGTAGACGCCAATTAATTCAATTTAAAATCCTCCACCAATTACACTACTCTAAGATCAGACTGCATAAGATTTATCCTTCTATCTCCCCAATGTGTGACAGGTGTAGATTGGCAGAAGGTACGTTGTTGTTGTATGAAACCTCTACAACCTGAACTTGAGCTTGTAATTTTTGGATGTTCTCCAGCGTCAGAGCTACTCCTGGTTACAGTGCAACGGCTATTGGAACTAGGTTTGATTGCTGCCAAGAGGTTAATCCTGAGGGAATGGAAGTCCCCCACTCCTCCTTTCTTTCAGTTGTGGGTAACAGACATGATGTCCATAATACAAATGTGGTGTTTTGTGAAGTGCATGTTTGTCTGAATTAATTGTTTTTTCTGTAACACATCTGAGCCTGTTTGTTATTGTTTGTTTGGAGTTTGTTTTTGTTTTATATTTTTAAAAATTTAAAATTAAATTATCCAAAAAAAAAAAAACCAAACAAAAAAAAAAAAAAAAAAAAAACACGGAGGAGGAAGTGTGATGGTCTGGGGCTTTTTGCTGGATCCAGGGTCGGTGACTCGTACAGAGTGAGAGGCACCCTGAACCAAAACAGCTACCACAGCACTCTGCAGCTCCATGCAGTAGCCTCTGGTATGGACCTAGCTAGTCAGGAGTTCATCCTACAGCAAGATGATGACCCAAAACTTGAAAACATGGAGTGTCCAGCACAGTCTCCAGACTTAAACCCCATCGAGTTGGTTTTAGATGAACTTTTTTTAAAATCATTTTTATCATTAACTTGGTTTCCCTGGGTCTTTTCCCGTGTGTTATGAATAAATCTTCTTTTTTTGGTACCGGTACTGGTTTTATTTTGGTGAATTTATCCATGACACCTTAAATAAACACCTTAAATGTTGTTGGACATAAACTGGTCCGTGGCGCAAAAAAGGTTGGGGACCGCTGGTTTAGAACACATTTTGGTCTACAAATTGATTCCATGAATTTTTTCTTTTGACTCCAGTTGCTTATTTGTACTATGCTTCATTACAGAGTGCAATGTGACAGTAAACTTCATAATTTTCAATAAAAAACTGGAAAAATTGGGGTGTTTTAAAACTTTTGACTGGTACTTTTCTACTAAAAGTATACTTTCTACTTTACTAAAGCTAAACTTTCATGATCAATTTCAGTTTCGTCCTGCCAGTAAATCATGCAGCTATGTTCTCATTTCAGGGAGGATGCAGAAGCTCCCAAAGCCAAACTAGTGAAGCCCAACTCCCTCTCCTCATCTCGCTCTGGCAGTTCCCATTCGGGCACCTCCTCCACCCAGTCCATGGTGCACAACTTGGGACCTAAATGTCAGCATGCCTTTGTTCCTGCTGTGGCTGCCCTTAACGAGAACTGCCAGGCTTTCCCACAGTCTCCACCTGAATGCCATCAGAAGATTCCCAAGATCCCTGAACATCTTTTGCACCCACTTCCATGTCTACCTCTCACTCCAAACCCAGTCACTGCTGTTATGATCAAACCAGCTCAAACCAGGGCCTTCCAAGCCGTGTAGAAGAAAAATCCAGTTCCTCAACTTACTCCATTCACACTGTGACAAAACACTTTCAGCAACTTAACTTTGAAGAATTTCTGCAATATAAAAACAGTTTTGTTCTGGTGTCATTTATTTGTACACAGTTACCTCTGTAGGTTTTAGAGAGAGATTGTTAGATTGTTAAAAGTATATTTCAGTATACTTTTAACAACCTAACAATCTCACATACATCTGTTAACACCTGTAGTTTTACTTTCTGACAAAAGTTTAGGTTTTTACAGATTTGGATATGATGCACAGTCTCAGAGGTACTTATTGAAAGTTTTTAATTCAGGTTCATGGACCAGTTCTTACCATTGTTCACTTTTACATGAAAATGCAAAAATACCTGCAACACAGTCTGATTGCAGTTTGTAAAATACTGTTGGCCACAAACTAATTTGTGGCCATGGACGTTAAATATTGTATTTTTTAGTTGGATCAAGCTCCACTGCAGAAAGAACTATGTAGTGGTGCTTGCATAAGTCACAGGACCTAAAAACTTCCGTCTGAGAGTTTTTTTTGTTTGCTTTGTGTGGGACCACCAGGGGACTCCACTCACATCCAGTGAGAAGGGAAGAGGGAGGGGTAATGTTTTTGGGTTGTAGGAGGTGTTTTCTGCCTTGTGAGTTCAGTTGTGTGAAGCTGAAATTAAAGTTGGAGTAAAACGTGATGAGGTCTTGTGTCATCCTTACGTACCTCCACATTGGTGACCCCTGAGACGAACATGCTGAGGCCCGAAGAGGAAACCGGCCCTTTCCAGAAGCATCTGTGGCTGCCAGACTCCCACCTCTGCCTGCACCTGCGTTTGCTTTGGTAGTTAAAGTACAGACTTTTGGCTTCACGACCCTCCTTCAATTTTCGTGCATGTCGAAGCTCAGTTTGCTCTTTGTGGAATTTTATCTGACGACATGAAAAACATGTGGTGGCCTCATTGGCCTCATTGGACTCCGCTGTCCAATGACCCTCCTCCAGAATCCCCCTGGCCAAAGGAAATACACCGCTCTCAAGGCGCTGCTGCTCAGTGTCCTTGAGCAGTGTGGACTATGATTATTGTTATTATGTGTGTTTTTGGTGGTTTTCTCTCCTTTTTTGTCCTCCTTCTCCCTGTGTGCTCCCGGATGTTTTGGGTCGCTGAGGGGGACTGCGAACTGGAAGTGTTCCCGCACTGGAAGCTGCCACACCTGCTGCTCGTTAGCCTTCACCAGCTGCAGCCGATTGCCTCATCAAGAGCGTCCTATTTAAGAAGTGGCCGAGCTCCAGTCAGCACAGGATATTCTATAGCAAACTGTAAAGTACCTCCGTTGATGAGTGTTTATGTGAACGACATCGCTACTGTGGGTTTCCTGCTGAGCTGTGTGTGTTTTGTGTCACCAGGAGTCGGGAGCGAGGAGCGTCGTCACGAGGGGAAATTGGGTTTTGGAGTCGTCACTTTTTCACTGTTTATGCACACGTGCACGGTATGGGATTCACAGAGGAATCACCACAGGAGCTACAGTGCTGGATTTGTACATAGTTGTTGTTTTTGTCCACTCACCATAAATAAATCCACTGTCCTTCACTATAAGAGTCTAGCGTTTGGGCCCTACTTTCCTCAACTCCACGGTCTGCCATCACTGACCGTGACAGTAGCATTCGATACTGTTGACCATAATATCCTATTAGAGTGATTAGAGCATGCTGTAGGTATTACAGGTACTGCACTGCAGTGGTTTGTATCATATCTATCTAATAGACTCCAGTTTGTGCATGTAAATGGAGAGTCCTCTTCACACACTGAGGTTAATTATGGAGTTCCACAGGGTTCAGTGCTAGGACCAATTCTGTTTACATTATACAAGCTTCCCTTAGGCAGCATCATTAGAAGACATAGCATACATTTACACTGCTATGCAGATGACACCCAGCTCTATCTGTCCATGAAGCCAGATAACACACACCAATGAGTTAAACTGCAGGAATGTCTTAAAGACATAAAGACCTGGATGGCCGCTAACTTTCTGCTTCTTAATTCAGATCAAACTGAGGTTATTGTACTCGGCCCTGAAAATCTTAGAAATATGGTGTCTAACCAGATTCTTACTCTGGATGGCGTTACCTTGGCCTCCAGTAACACTGTGAGGAACCTTGGAGTCATTTTTGACCAGGACATGTCCTTCAACGTACATATTAAACAAATATGTAAGACTGCTTTCTTCCATTTGTGCAACATCTCTAAAATTAGAAATATCCTGTCTCAGAGTGACGCTGAAAAACTAGTTCATGCATTTATTACTTCCAGGCTGGACGACTGTAATTCATTATTGTCAGGATGTCCAAAAAAACTCACTGAAAAGCCTTCAGCTAATCCAAAATGCTGCAGCAAGAGTCCTGACAGGGACTAGAAAGAGAGAGCAGATTTCTCCTGTATTGGCTTCCTTCATTGGCTTCCTGTTAAATCCAGAATTCAAAATCCTGCTCCTCACATACAAGGTCTTAAATAATCAGGCCCCATCTTATCTTAATGACCTTGTAGTACCATATCACCCTATTAGAGCACTTCGCTCTCGCTCTGCAGGCCTACTTGTTGTTCCTAGAGTATTTAAAAGTAGAATGGGAGCAGAGCCTTCAGTTTCAGGCCCTCTTCTGTGGAACCAGCTTCCAGTTTGGATTCAGGAGACAGACACTATCTCTACTTTTAAGATTAGGCTTCAAACTTTTCTTTTTGCTAAAGCATATAGTTAGGGCTGGACCAGGTGACCCTGAATCCTCCCTTAGTTATGCTGCAATAGACGTAGGCTGCCGGGGATTCCCATGATGCATTGAGTTTTCCTCTCCAGTCACCTTTCTCACTCACTATGTGTTAACAGACCTCTCTGCATTGAATCATATCTGTTATTAACCTCTGTCTCTCTTCCACAGCATGTCTTTTATCCTGTCTTCCTTCTCTCACCCCAACCGGTCGCAGCAGATGGCCCCGCCCTCCCTGAGCCTGGTTCTGCCGGAGGTTTCTCCTGTTAAAAGGGAGTTTTCCTTCCACTGTTGTCAAAGTGCTTGCTCATAGGGGGTCATATGATTGTTGGGTTTTTCTCTGTATCTATTATTGTAGGATCTACTGTACAATATAAAGCACCTTGAGGCGACTGTCGTTTTGATTTGGTGCTATATAATAAATGAATTGAATTAGTCGAACCTCGGATACATGAGAACAATGCGGTTTTCATCCTGGTCGTAGAACACTGGATCAGCTCTTTATCCTCTCGAGGATACTGGAGGGCACATGGGAGTTTGCCCAACCAGTCTACTTATGTTTTGTGGACTTGGAGAAGGCATTCAACCGTGTCCCTCGGGGGTTCCTGTGGGAGGTGCTCCGGGAGTATGGGGTGTCTGGCTCATTGCTACGGGCCATTCAGTCCTTATACAACCGTTGCAAGAACTTGGTCTGTATAGCTGGCAATAAGTCGGACTTGTTCCTGGTGGGTGATGGGCTCCACCAGGGCTGTCCTTTGTCACCGATTTTGTTCATAATTTATATGGAGGAGGAGGGGGAGGGACTCAGAGTAGAGCTGCTGTTCCTCCACATCGAAAGGAGCCAGTTGAGGTGGTTCGGGCATCTGACAAGGATGCCTCCTGGGTGCCTCCTGGGTGAGGTTTTCCGGGCATGTCCCACCGGGAGGAGACCCCGGGGCAGACCCAGGACACACAGGAGAGATTAT